AACTCCTATCAGCCCTGAAATTTCCAGCAATCTGGCTTAAAAACTTGTGTTCCCATCTGCTGCTACCTCTCTCCTTCCTTCTTATGTAATAACTCGCCACCACTTACGTTTCACTGAGGTCTAAACTCATTGCTTCAGCCCACACGTGGGGCCTGGCCAAATGTCCTTAAGTCCTTTGCGTCAGGACGACAATAATTGCATTGGGACTCTGAATTTTCTGCACCAGGCTCATGGAAAATGATTTGGACTGAACTTGTCATACTTCTACAGAGCAAATTTCACAAGCTGACCAGCAGTTAGACATTTTAAAAAGAGGAACACTTCTGTAGATACGTAAATGATGTATTAATTGAAAAACAGGATAAACATCGACGTTGTTGCTGTTCGCTTGAATACGACTAGCTGCAAAGAAATTGCTTGTTAAAACAGGATGAAAGGGCAAGTGAAAGAGAAGTTAGATTGTAATATAAGGTGGAACAGATTCATAAACTTTTCTCAGATCCCAGCAGATGAAAGGCACAACGCTACCCATATTTCCCAGCTTTCCTCAAGATAGCTGGAGGAACCAGCTGCAAAGAGATAATATTGACATACAATTTTTAAAAGCTATGACTGCTGAAATGCTTAAATTTTCTTCTTGCTGTGAAAATAATCACATACAGGTATTAAGCCAGTCTAACCTACTGCTTTGCCATTCTAACTAAGAAAAGGGTATTTTTGTTTTGTTTTCTAATTTAACACATTTCTATTGGTAGTTGTTGTTTTCTATCAGTTTACCTATAAGCTGACAGTGAAAAGTTGTACAAAAGCATCATTTTATCAAAATTTCTCATCACAAGCTCAGTATTTCAAAGTCCAGGACATTAAGACACCCAGATCATAACTTTTAAGATTAAACCCATTTTGTTCAGGGCAGCTTGGATAAAGATCAAGGTATCTGAAGGCAGAAATACAAAACAACACTGAAAGTCCCACCACAGTTTTGCTCTGAATAGCACAAAATTGTTCTTAACTTGAAAACTGAGCCAGTTGTCAGAAAGTGCACATGTATTCGAAAGCTTAAACACTCACCTATTGGATTTTTTCCTCCCAAAATAAGGAAACAGATTGTCCTTATCACCCTTACCTGTACATTAAATAAAGAATAAACCATTTTTTCAGATCATGCTGTTTGATTTACAAATCTATTACCCCTCTAAGGTAGTACTGCTTGACAAAAATTGGTTTAGGAGTCTGAAACTTCTGAATGTGCAAAATTGGCAAGTCGACCCCAACACCAGCCTCATGCACTGAGCTCATCACTTCAGGCAGAGCCCAAACTCCAGATGGCTCCTCAAAGCCAGGCACGCAGTGAAAGCAGTATGAGTGGCAAAGGGATGATGGTCGGAGCAGATACACGGCCACACGGAGGTTAGCCCATGTCAGGCCCCTCAGAAATTATTTAATCAGCCTGGAACACTACTCAGAAATTTGTTACCACTCAGCTGCACGGCACAGAAAGAAGGCATTCGTTTGGAAAAAGGATAAACCATAGTCCTACTCGATCAAGTTGCCTCCTTTGTCAAAACAAGATTTAATATTTTTTCAGGATTTGTTAAAAAATGGTTTCGTATGGCATTCTGCTTTGTACTAAGGCAGGCTGCCAGGCTGTAGCACCTGTACTTAATCACGATTCCTTTTCTCAATCTCTCAAAAAAATTCAACAGGATTATTAAAATGTTAAAAATCCTTCTTGAAAATACTTGCTTGCAAAAGCAAAACATAGAAACAATTTGTTAGAACCAAGATGAACACATTAAAAAAATAAATCATTTTCCTAACCTAATGATTTCTTTCATGATAAAAAAATAATAATAATAATAATAATGTTCCTGAGTCTCTCTCACACATTTTTGACATCCCCCAATTATGTTCTTTGAGGCAGCAAATTCAGTCACCATGAATCGTCTACCCACCCTCTCCCAGGCTCTACAAAGACAAATTGCTGGCAGTGAGAGAGCCAAAATGGGATTTGAAGCACGCCTAGTTGAGAACAAACAGAAAAAGTACAACTATAGGAAAAAGACAGCATTTAAGATGTTATAGTAACAAAATACTGGGGATGACAGGTGACAGGGGATGCTAACATGCTAACAGATGAACCATTTATGTTTTGGGGGATTTTTATGTGTTGCACGGGACACATTTATGCAGGTAAAGAAATAGAGTTCATGCTGAACGGAACTGTGCAACTGTTAAAGCAGACAACCCCCTGGCAGAAAGCACGGTAGGTGTAGGTCTGTGCTTCCATCCCTAATACAGATGTTGAAATTATTCAAGTGGAACTATGAAGTTCTTGAGACCCTGATGATAGGGTCTGCATGGCTGGGTTTAACAAAGCCCCTCCTTCTTTAAGGATGGCCAGTGGATCGATTGCAGCTTATTGTAGAAGTTTTAATGCATTGACACAGCAACACACGAATGAATGCAGCTGCCATCGTTTATATGATGAAGGCCTCACGCCAAGTGACTCATGAGAAGCTACACTAGAAAGCAAGTGAGGGAGGAAGGTGGGGAAGGAGCTGAAATGACACAAGGTCCCACCATTCCCGTGGAACACAGCAGGGGGGATTCGTAGAGGCAGAAATTGGCAATTTCCCAGTGGACAAACCACCCACTGGAACAGAAATATTTTAGTTAAAAGCAGAGAAAACGTAATGTTTTAATGAACATAGATGAGAGGGCACTATGACAGCAAACACAATTAAAAGATGGAGAATGATAAGCAAAGAACTTCTAAATTCAAGGGAAGATTCACAGGCAGCACCCTTATACAGATCCAAATCATGCGTCACCTTCAGATCCTGCAGATCATTAAGGGCACATCTCATTTCCATTCAATACACCTACAAGCAGCTTAAAAAACAAATTAACATTCCTTCCTCCCTGTAGCACAGCAGCACAAAGAGCAGAGAGATGGCAGACAACCTCTGCAGCCACAGTTCACCTCACTTTCATCACTGACTCATTTCTCCTAAATTATGCAGCAAGAGTTGCACCTTCTGAGAACTGCAAACTAATTAAGGATTTGGAAAAACAACAGAAGTGAGACTAAAATACAAAGGCAATAGCGAACGGAGAAGAATACAGCAAATTTTTAACCATCCTTTTCCACACTAGAACAAGAGATGCTGAACCTGAAAGATGTCAAACTCAGAACACCATCACCTCTGTATTACAGAGGGTGCAGGCAGCTCATGATTTTTCTTCTACACAGAAGCAAGACTTCAACTTATTTTATCATACACAATCAATATTAAAACCAAAAATATTTTACAGTAAATAATGTGTACCTTCTCAAGCTTCTGGTCTCATGCTAAGCATGCGCTACTGGATATCAGAAAGAAATATTCTTTATCGGCACGCTAATTGAGCATATAAAGGTTTTTTGGTTTGTCTTTTAACCCTTCTCAGAAGGGCACACCAGCAATCTAAACAGGGCACTGTGAGAGGTACACTACCCATCCCAACTTGGTAATCCTACCTGTCCCAGGCCTGTAATTTTGAAATGCCGTATTCCAGGTAAACCTCCACGTGAATCCTTGCCTCTAGACAAATAATTTCATGGTATTCGCCTTTTAAACCTCGAACCTGGATTTTAACAAGATGTACTACTGACACTACCTACATAGCTAATCGCCAAGGTTCAGATGAACGCATTTTTAAATCTGTACTTATTAATCTAAAACGAGCACCATCCCACACCATTTCTTCCAATTATGCCAACGCTGAAGTTTAGCAAGTTATTGTCCTCTTCACCAAAACCTCAGAAGAGATCTAATTTCTTGTCTTCCAGAAAAGTCAGTTTAACATCCCAGCACTGAACTGCAAGGGTTTTAAAATAATTTTGAAAGGTAATCTGCCCATACTGCCCCTTTTTCAAACAGACAGGATTTCTGCCCATTTTGTGCCTTAAAAAATTGCATTTACCTTCGCAGATGTTTCAGAAAAGCATACATAATGTTTCTTTATAGTCAAAAGGATCTACTTATTCTCAAATCCATTTTTCTTGTTCTCTCCTCATCTCAACAATTACGTATGGCCCCTTTGCAGTCTAGCAATTTAACTAGTAGTTTTTCTACTAGTCTAATACAAAACCAGTAGTACTACAATGGTAAGTTTCTGCCATTCCAAGTTCCCTCACTGTTGTGCCCACTTCCCTTCTAAGTCTCAGAAACTTTGTTAAACCATCATGTGCTTGGAAGCTAAAGGAAAATGTATTTTCTAGTTATTCCTTGTAACCCTTCTAGAGTATCCTCTCAAAACAAAAACCAAACCAGCTTGCTGCATTTCCACACATTAACAAATAAATAGCGGGCAGTCTGCAAGTAAGAAAAGGATGAAAACAGATCAGGTGAACACTAGATGCAATAATAAAGCTACTGAAGTTAAACAAACACAGTTCATTTTTTTCTTATTTAATAAATAATATCAAAAAGTGAACCTTTTTTGTTACATTATTGGAAAAAAAAAAAAAAAAAAAACAGTTTCTTATCTAACTCCAGCAATTGTACAAGCCATAATGAAACAGATTTAGTTTGGAAAACCAGCTTTTTGGGTGCACATTCCATATCCCGTGTAAGTGGAGTCCAGCGTGCATGGCCTCACAACTAGTGATGACTTTTCCACTCCTGGGCTTGGTCTTCTTTTGTGTTGTTCTGGTTCCACGGATGACCTCACTGTTCATGCGCAAAAAAAACAACCAACCAAAAAAAAAAAACCAACATCCGAAACAAACATATTCCTTGGTTAACATTGAAAAGAGCCCACAAAAACGTGGCAAGGTTCAACACCTGATCAAGTCATAACTACTTTTATGATATATCATCGTACAGATGTTATGTTTGTCACATCAACAGTAACATGGCATTTTATCTTTAGCCTTGTAGAAAAAAAAATGAAGCCTGATATTATATGCACATATACACACACACAGTACACTTGACAAAAAAACACTTTTATGTGGTTTACATTTCACTTTTATTTAATCCTCAAAACTGCCCATATTGCAGGGTTTTTCTTGATGAAATATGGAACTGAGCAATTAATTCTACAAAATTATGGTATAAACTTGCTCATTTTCCTACCTTATTGCTAAGAAACTTTACAGGTGCACAGTTTGTAAAAATAACCCTTTTAAGACTGAATGTATACACATGCTACAGGATTTTTAAAAAAAGACATTAGCATAGCACCTCTGTATGGGGCAAATGCAGTGTTGAACACAGACAGAATGCTTACAAGGTCAGAACTGTTCGTTTATTTTACAGCTTCTAAAGGGAAGAAATTGTTCAGTCCTAAAAGGGTTAAGTAGAAACCCTAAGATACTTCTTTTCTAACAAAGCTGCCACTCAATCCCACAGTACAGTGCTTGAAAACAAAGTCAAAAGTCTGGCACAGGAAAGTATACACATTTGTTCAGTACTCATAAACACAGCTGCTTTTGAAAGAAAGTAAATAATATGGTTAATAATTGAAGAGCATCTAGTTTCAAGATGGACACCTCTATGGAGACTTTTAATCTACAAGTGGGTAGCTTACTTTCAATAGACTTTTGTTTCACTTGGCATTAATATTTTGTCTATGGGGAATTCACAGATTTATGCCTGGAGTTCACGTCTTTTCAGGTAACCATTCTGATCTTACAAGTCTGTGCAATGAAAAGAAGTACAGAATATCATTATTAACACAGTTGTGGGATGCCCTCAGGGCACATAATTAGGGAAAAACATCAGCAGCAGGTTATTAAAGACTATGCTAGTGTTGAATTCTGAAATGCAGTTCCAAACAAAAGAAAACAAGAAAAGGCAGAGCTAAATTTGAGCACTTAATTTGCTTTTGCATCCTACAGTTGGAACTATAACAACGTTCTGAACACAGACTCAATTTCTATGTATACAGAATTAACAGCAGACTTAACAGCTAGACTTGAACAGTTATAACTGTTTCATATCGAAACACTCTAAAAGTAGTTTTATCAAAATGCTGAGATATTGTTAATATCATGAAAATTGGTTAACAGCTCACAAGGCCAATAAATGTAACAATAACACCCCACAGGAAAAGGTTCAGGAAGATAACATATCTGAACAACTGGACATCTGAACAACAGTAAGGACTTGGAAGACCATTTCTGTACTACAAAATAACTACTGGCAACAACGGAGCCACAAGCCCGAGGGAAAAATGGGGTATAAAATAAGTCTTGTAAGCACAACTCAATAATCTGTTTTTAACCCACGAGGCTGTAGTGTGTAGAACAGCAGAAATTAGGCTAAGACATCAGGTTCTTTACAAGTCAAGGAGTATTATAATATATCTATTGGGCGAAATTATTGCAAATAAAGAAACTGAATATAAAAAAGTATTGCATTTATATGTAAAAATTTTTAAATAATGAGTATAAAAGCAGGTGTCAAGTTCTGAAAAGCTATCTAAAATATTCTCTGAAGGTTAAAAGGCTTGTTATGGTTTGCCTACTGTGTGTATATCATGATTTGTTCTTGAATAGCCTTCTAAATCCGATACATGTATTATTTATTTTCATTCTGATTAATGATGAAAATCTGTGGCTCTTGATTTAAGCAGTACTGTAAGATACTTATGTGCTTTGAACAAAAACGCTGAAATGATTCCTGTCACAAAACGATTAACATGAAGTTTTATAGCACATACACAAGTAAACAGATTTGCAAGTAAATGCCAGTAAACAGTTTAAAACAGAGATAAGGCCACAATGAATTCTGCCCTTGGTCACTGAACAGAGATGAGGTGAGGCAGTATTCACTAGTGCTAAGAACCAGCATTGTGACTATGTCATGGGAATAAGTTTCATAACACAGAAGAGCAAATATGAAGGCCTGTGGTAGAATACAAGCACATTTTAAAAGGACAGTGGCACTGATTTAAACTATTTAGCTAAACACGTTTTACAACGGATTTCTTCCTTTAACCACATCATTTTCACATGTACAACAGAGCACTGAAGCAAACGAGTAGAATGGAGCGTCAGAGTACACACACATGGTGCAGACAATGCTTTAAAATGGTGTGGGTGTTGGAACTGGAGTAAGTGGTCAGACATAAAAACTCTGTGAAAATGGTCAACAGGTAAGCTTGAAAGCAATGCACTGTAGGAAGCCACAGGTTCACATTTACACAGTAGTTGTGGCTCATGCTTCAGGGTACAGAAAAGGCTGAACACACCATAACATTTGTATTTTGGCTTTAAAGAGGAAGATCACACTATCAAAACTTGCCCTATGAGTCTATGCCTAGTTCTGTGACTACAAATGAACTACTGGAATATATTTTCAAATACAAATGAAACAGGCAGGTCTACAAGGAGGGATAAAACATGGCAAAGTCAAAATGAAAAACAAACACAACAACCAACAAAGTCAAAGTGCAAATGAGCCTTAAATTTATGATGGAGAGAAGACTTGATCGTTGCACAAGCTGTTGGCAGGGAAAGAGAAACCCACAGGAAACAAGGATGGGAGGAGTTGACATCTTCATAGTGCTTTTGCGATTTTCTATTTGCCCATTTCCAAGTAATAAAATTTACTTCTAGTTATTATGGGATGATCACTTCACAATGAAAGCACGTTCTTGATACAAGTGGTACACTGAAGTCTGGCCTAATTTACGGAACAGTATGATGAAAAACATGCTTTTTGCGATTCTCAGTGATGAAGGGCATCACCTACCAATCCCATTTGCAGTACACACTTCTCATGATATTTTAGTTACATGCCAACAAGACAGAAGACATGCTGCCAAATGAAGTTATCGGGAACATTCCACTTTTGAAATAAAACATTTAACTTACACTTAATACAAATTATGTACAAGATTAGAAAAACCTGAACAGATCCTGAAACATTTTCGGATGCAATGACTGTGAAAGGAGAGGGGGAGTAACCCAGTAACAACCCTTCAAAAACACCAACGTATGCCTGTGACACGAACAATCATTAACATGACTGCTTCAGATGCCACTAAAAAAACTCACGTAATGTTAGAACCTCAAGAATTATCACTATAAATACATATTTTAAAAAAGGAAAACAGAAATAACTATTAACAATGACTGAAAACAGAGCACTAAAGTTAACATACATTGCATGTATTGCAGGCAAGGCAGAGGCATTTTTTAAAGCTTTTGCACAGACTTCATATAATCTTAAAAAAAATATGCTGGCCTTTACAAGGTTCTACTTGCTGAAATAAAAACAATTTCAGTTCATAAAAAGTCACAAGACTTCAGTTTAAAAAAAGGAACAGTTCCAGCCACAGACCAAAAATATATATATTTTTTTAAAACTGGAAGAGTATGGTAATTAGATTATACAAGCATGGTCAGGCTTGGAACCTGAATATACTTCAGAGCAAAAGCTCAGAGGAAAAAAAATATAAACTATTTGGTAACAAAAGTGTACTATATGTTGTGATACAAAAAAGGTATGGTGAAAATGTACCTTTTATACTAAAGCTTATACAAGTTCCTTGGTCCATAAAAACTATGTTGTGTTCATGTTTTCTAGTTTGCTCAACATGTATCCCAGCCACATTTTTATTTCTTGCCCATTAAAAAAAAACAGCTGAAAAATAGATTTTCAATAAAGTTCTTATGTTTCGGATCTATTTTTTTTTATTGTGGCTTCTATATTAAGATCAGCACTTGCAGGTAACAAGGTTCAAAATAATATCACCTAAAATGGAAAGGTGTTTTCCCATGAAACCACAAAAATTGTTCAGTTCTCTTGAATGTAGCACTTAAAAGTCAGTTAAAGTCCAAACAAACAACGGTAGTTAGGAAACTACAGTTGCCGTAGATGATGTGACGTTGGTTGGATTTGTGCTGACATTCGTGTAACTTCCCTCGCTGTTTGCAGTTGTTTCACTGGAAGCCATGAGGCTAGAGTTGGCTCTGAGGATTGCTCCAGCAGCACTGCAGTGCGGTCGTGGCCCTGGTTCCGGTGTGTATGTGAAGGTAAGGCTGGTGGAGTAAATTATGCCATCGTTACGGACCAAAGTTACTGGAACTTGGACTGGTTGACGGACCCACCTCCATCCCTCTCGAAATGCAGAAATATCTGGAACAACGCATAGCATGCTCTCTGCACATCTGAAAAACAGGAGAGTCAAGTGGGTATAACACTTAATAAGTATACACGATGGAAATGTAGCCACTACAAAAGCAGCAGGAAATACAGTACCTGTACATGGTTTCAGCTTCCACATCCCCAAACCAGACACGTAAATTTGGAGTGAAGTTCTGTCCTGTAAGTTCCAACATTGCTACATCCCCGCCACCGTTCAACTGGATTGGGGGTGAGCAGAAAAGAAAAAGCCCACAAAAAACATTAACAAAGACAAGAAGACCCTCAAAAAAAAATTCACAGTATATACAAGAACTATAAACAATCCTGTTTCTATTAGCTGGATGAAACTGAAATAAACAGACCTACACAACTGAATTGTAAAGTAAACTCATCTAAAGAAATTCTGCCAAATAATTTGATATCCTGAAGGGATAATGACCACTTAAAATAAAAAAGTGAAAAAGGCTTTGAAAACAAAGAAAAAAGAATCTTTCTGAGAACATGCTAGGAAACCACATTTTTCAACAGTGGGTGGCTCATTTCTTAATAAGGTTTCAGTCTGCCTCCATTTGATGCATAAATAACTGTGTTAAGAGTCAAAATCAATTTCGAAATAAGCAAAAGTCTTAAGGATATCACCATCATAGTATTTTAAAAACTAAAATCCTTAATGTATAGAACAGTATTAATATTATTCCTGTGATGGATATGCTCAAGTATTCTGAAATGTAACTGAGAAAAATTATTGCAACACAAAGCAATTTTACCACTTATAAAGCTAGCATGAATGTTTTCCTACAGTAGCCTCCAAAGGTGCTATGAAGGTGAAATCAGTATGACAGGAATAATCTCACATGAAAGAGCTTATAAAAATAAGTAAATACATAAATCACTTACTTGAAGACTTTCTACAACAGGCACAGGTGTCACTGGAGCATGGACCGGTCCCATCCCCTCATAAAATGTGTACTCTGCTTTATCTGTGCTAATGATTGTCCAAGAAGCTCCGTCATTAATCATTTCTTTATTTGGTTCTTTTGGGCATGGAGTGGCCTTAGAAAGAAAGTTTGAAAACTGATCTGTAAAACTGTTTGACAATCATAGAGCTAAAAAGCATCTCAGTCAGCAACAGTGTCTATCAGTTCAATAACACGTTTTCCTGTTTCTCCTCTAACAAAATGCACTAGGGGAAATCGTCACATACAGTTCAACAAACCTAGCAGAAAAGCAAACTTCTGAGAACATTTTAATTCTCACCTATAATATAGCCACATCTCCAACCTTCTTCAGTTGGATTTATTTAATAGATTTCATTTTAGTTCAGCTTCTCAAGTTTTAACATTATTCAATAGCCATTAACAAAACCTACAACAAATAAAGTGTGTATTTTAGTAGGACCTTGTGTTAATGACAAAGTGACCAAAACAGCCAGACTGACACGGAATACTTTTCATTTCATGAATGTTACCTGGCCAATTGCCAAGACTTTTTTTTTTTTTTTTTTTTTAAAGTTGTTCACCCACAAAATGAAGGAAAAAATAAGCTTGTATTTCAGTGTTTGTGCAGAGACGTGGGAGAAGCTGCAATGACAACCTTGCAAATGGTTATGTCATGCTACTTTGTTATGGCAGCAGCAGCCTCTCCAAACAATGCTATTATCTAGCAACCAATAGTGCATAGGTTTAACACAGAAAAAAAGATGGACTGAGAAATTTTAAGTTTAATACCTAAATTCTGTTCACTTCCATAAAGCTTTAAGTGCATCTAGGTATATAACCATCGACTTTACTCTTCAGAACTGGTAGATAAACACCAACAGATTAGATAAACTAGCACAAATTGCCTAGTTCAGATGAACGGAAGTCAAGATCAAAGCTGAATTTGGGTGGACTCTTCATTCTGATACGATCAGGTTAAAAAACACTGAAAATAGCTTTCAAGAAAAGCCTGCAGCGAGGGTAGAAATACAGATCTTTCCCAGCTCAAGACTCAAATGATCTTTTTATTAGAAATATATGATGTTTCTAAATTACAAGCCCAACTTTGAAAGAGAAACTATTGTATACGGTTTTGACAAAGGACATTTTCCATGCAGGTAGACTACAACTCCTGATGGCAGGAATGGACTAACATGCTTCAACCCATAACAAATAAAACAAGGATATCAAAAATGAATGAGCCTGTACAGCATCCTTGACTTGTCCCTTCAGACCTGACTCAAAAACAGGAGAAAAATTCCACAGAATTTGTTGTGAGAACCCTGCTATGTTGAAGAATCATTTCAGGAACATGTTACTCCTCCTGTCACAGAAATCCTCAGAAGACTACTCCACAAGAGAAACATTTGTCTTTGTCATTTTCAAGTATGGCAATTTGAACCCTCAGGCTCTTTTTGTGTGTGTTTTCCCCTAAACTTTCCTTTCCTAAACTTTCATCTCCTAAACTTTCCTAACTTTTTCAACAGGTGGCACCAGAAGGTTGAAATGCTTTAAAGCTATGCTTAGTACCTCACGAATTGTCTGGTTTCACATGGAGACAGGATGGGAAACACAGAACTGTGCAACATTAATAAAAGAGAGAATTCTCCAAGGACTGGTAAACACAAGTCAAAAGGAATCAAAGAGATGGACTAAACATCTACAAAATGATTCTGAAAGGCAGAGTCAGGGATGTAGCCCTTAATCCTTTTTTTTTGTAGGTTCATGCTGAACTGCTAGCTTTCTATAGCCCTTCTGCTTTAAGCCTTTAGTTTCTCTATACTGATGACAGCTGTCACCCTAAAGTGTGTTTGTTTTTTTCCCCACAGTGACCACAGACTGGCTAAACTCTTGCTATAAGAACTACATTCAGCAGTCAATATTCAGCAGGTGAAAGATGCCACACATGCCTTTTTCACTGGTCTTGGTCTTCTGGTCCAAAGGAAGACAGAGATAAAACAGGATAAAATAGTCTCTCCTGCCACGGGCAGAAAGAGTTTATCTTCTGTCTTGATTTCAGTTACCAAAGAGTGGTAACAGCCTGATGTGCAAGTTAAGAGATGTTGTAAAACAAATAAAAAAAGCAGGTACCTACTCCTCTAAAAAAATCGCAAGAGTGGGTTGTCCTTTTACCTCAGCTCTACTCTCATGGAAAATTTAGAACTCTTATCAGACTGGGCTCTGCAAGTGTTGCATAAACTGTAGAGTGTTAGGATGTCCCTGCAGTCCCCTGGGCATTTCCAGGATATTGAAGTAAGGCAGCTGTCACAGAAGCTGTTGTTGCTTCTTCATTCAGCCCTTCCCTCAGGGTAGTTTGAGAAAGATCAAACAGCAAGGCTGATTCCAAGTCACCGCAATTCCTGTTTCGTTGCTTTCTCTTCTTCCTGACAAAGACCCACTCTGCTTTATGAGAAAGTACTTTAATAGATATATTATCTCTGCTATCCACTGGGGGAAGAACCAACAGATGTGGCCTCTTGTGAATGTTTCCTGAAAATATGAACAAAGCACCTCATATTCTTTCCACTGGTCACATAGGGTAGAATTCAATTGAGCCTTTACCAATCTTTCTGGTCCCTTCCCTTAAATTGAGGGAAATCTTTAAAAAGTTCACTTGTTCACTTTCCACTTTCCTGCTTCTACCTTTCTTACTCTGGATGCCAGAGCTCTTCTCCGAAGAAATTCCTGAGTCTTGTGGCGATCTTCCTGAGGCACAACATTATCTCTTAACTCCCCCCTTTGCTATTTGAGCTGCCCTGGATTTTTAAAGAGAGTATGTTGCAATACTCAGATGGGCTTAAACTTGATGGCAGTCTTGTTATTCTAATGGGAATTGCCACGCTGAAAGTCTGCTAAAAGCATGCTAACATACATGAGACTAAACCCAGTTTGTTAGCATATTATACGAGCTGTCAGAAAAATTGCACACTTTTTTTTTTTTTTTCCTTTTTACAGCTATTCCTTGGGGTTTGTTCCTGTTAAAGTAGCTCATTAGGTATATATTTTTTCCACCTGCTGGAGAAACATTATTGAAGACAGAGATGGCTACATTCCTTAGGGACAAATCAAATTTCTATGGCTTTACAAATTACCACGATCAACTGCCTTAACTGTCTATGTGTTTATGCTCTTAGCCAAGAGCAAGACAGTGCAACACTGCTAAGTATATCATGAGATATGACTGTGATGAACTCTATTATGTCCTATTTGCTGTAAGCTAGAAGTGGGCAGACAAATAAATGGTGCAACTCCACTACCACGTCAACTTGTTAAGTCACAGTATTCTAACTATGTCTCCATTTCTTCCACTGAAGAAAAACAGAAATTCATTGTCTAGACAGGCATGGAAGAGGTTATAGGGAAAGAAAAAAAACATTTTGGAAAGAGAAAGATAAAACGTGGTGCTTTCCATCCTCTGTCTTTTCAAAACAAAATATTAGATTCATTCAAAACCAACTGCAAAACTGGCATTCATACATATTTTGGGAATATTTGGGAAAAGTCTGCAACCATGCTTCTCATCTATTCAAACAGGTTTAAAAAACTCACTTGAAACTGGATTATTCTCTCCTGGGAAAGGCACAAATACATTCTCTCAGTGTCTTTAAGGTAAAACGCACACTTATGGAGCTGCGATACTGGATCATCTGCATCCAATAACGCTGTTTGTTTATCTACTTTTCGAATTATCTGTGAATGAAATTGTACATATATGTTTAGGACAATCTCTGTACTTCATTACTTTGACAATTACATACGTACTATTAGTAAAAGAAGTGAACGGCTGTATTTTTCAAGTTTCCATGCTGCCTGTTTTAATACCAACATCAGATTCATAATTCCTAATGCTTTTGCAGGATACAGTATTGCAGTGACACTCAGTACTACTGCTTCAATGTGTTGCATGCATATATATTTTACATTTTTCCCCACTCTTACAGCAAAAAGCAGTGCAGGCTTGAGCAAAATCTACTTTTGCTCCATTTCTTGATATAAAAGAACAATAGGTCAGGTATTAACAGTCTGCAGAAGCACATGCTTCCACCATCAATAGCATCAATAACATTATGGCAGACTGGCTAATGAACCAAAACAGCTGAAAATAAGGATTTACTTTAAAAGTATTGAGATGTCCTTAAGTACAGTTTTGGAAACACAACTATCATAGTATATCTTAACAGCTGGTCATTAAATATCACTGAAAGGAAACTGCAAAAAACATTCATTCTGTGTAAAAATATATGCTAATTTAATTGAGAGCTGTTACATCTATAAAAATTAATGTTATTCCCTTACAGACAGTGGAAACGTATAGCTCAGAATTTTAACTCAACTTCTAGAAGAAAAGTCTAATACTTCATGTCATGCAACATCAGCAGAAGCAGCAGCCATAGTGCTTGGAAATTTCTAAACCAACAATTAGAAAGCCAGCCATGTCCTCTGGGATTTCTAATGGTAATAAATGGCATTATTAGCAACATAATTTTCAAGGTTAACTTGTTTCTTCAAGGTTCCTCACATCCACTTACGCAATGTCTGCAAGTTACCTTGAAATTGCATCACCTTCAAATGACTCTGGTAAGACAATATTTGTAATGCTTTCAATAGCAAACATAACAGAAACCTTCAGCCTGATTTGTTTTAATCTGCAAATCTATTTCTACCTACAAATAATGTTTTTGGATTCATAAATGATGGCATCTTTTAGGAAGGAAGAAAACATTAACAGGATGCCCACAAATAAAATGAGATCCCTCTTACTGACTTTCACGTGCTGAACTAGACCAGTAGTAAACAAGTCTGGATTTTTGTGTCAAATAACATGATTTTTGTTTGTTTGTTTTTGTTTTTTTTTTTTTTTTTTTGAGATATATTTATATTATGATTTTATAGCATTTAATACAAGCAGTCTTATTTTTTAGCTGAGTTTGATATTAGGACAAAATTTCTCATTATAGTCAGAGTAAGATCCCACTGGGAAGGGGGGAAAAACACCCGCCTGCAGAGAAGGTTGGTTTTATATTGGAATATTTAAAAAAAAACATTTCTAATTAAAAGTGGAATTAGCAAAATCTTGTATGAAATTCATAACTGTCTGACAAACCACAATTTCACAGAAGATCTCATAGGAAGCATGGTTATTATTAGTCAAAAATTCCACTTGGGATGGCATTAGGTGCAGAAAATAGGAGAAAAAAATGCAATTCTATTTAAATTTATTTATAAACAACATTACTGTGTATCCATCAATAAAAGATTTCTTGGTTCTCAAATCTTAAGTTCTTAGAACTAATTTTCTATCTGTGACAAATGGTTGAAAGTTTCTCATTTCTTTTAATCATTCTAGTTGTAGTTCCAATGTTACATATTTAATACAGCATTAGTAAATGACCAAAATGTTTTTGCAAGATGCTGGTATAATGATGTAGCCTTAGAAGTACATATTCGGTTTTGGTTTGCTTTTAGTTTCAAATCAGTAGAGTATTTTAAAATGTGCGCTGAACTCAACAAATGCATCGTCCTACAGGTTATGAAGTCTTTACTCATCTATTCGATATTGAAAGTATTTTCCTAGACTGTGACCTACATTACTGTTTTTAAAATAGACTTGTATTTTCTTAAGGACAGCTTGCAGATTAACCTACTTCGGTAGGTTTGAATTTTGAATTCAAATTCCCTGCGCTTAACTTACAAGCTGTTCTTTACTTATAGAATTAATATACAGATATAAAGATAAAAATATGCTTTTATTAAAATGAATGCCATTTTCCATATAAAACACATATTACTAAAAGGAAAGATATAAAGCCAGAATTGTAAACAATGCAAAACCAACTATGCAATTACCCTAACTAACCATCTACAAATTAATTATAGCACTGGAGAAATTGAACTGTACCAGTCTTGGGAGTGCCATGCCAGTAACTGAGCATACAAGTTTGACAGTCTGCCCATAATGAATGTAGCCGTCTCTCACTGTGAATTCTTCTCCTTCTGATTCATCATCATCCACTGCATGAAACAGGAAGTTCCACATTATTTGTTTTAATAAATGTTTTTCTTGATAAGAGGAAAATTTAATATCACACTATTACATCAAATACACTGCTCAGTAACAAAACAAATCTGAGCTGGGGCAATTAATAAGGAAGAAAAATGCAGGACTTTTTTTTGTGGGGATGGAGGGAGGGAAGTTAAAAATATATTATTAAAATATTATTAAAAATATTCCTTTATTTTTACTTACAGAGGTGAATGTAAAATGCTCCCCACTGTTGTGAACTGGCATGGAAATTACCGCCTTCTACGTGCAAATATCTGGTGCTAACTGTTTGGGATCGAAGTCTATTAAATAGTGCCACTTTTGTCCCTGATGCAATACATACTGCAAGGAATACATACAGACTTCAGATTATAAAATTACTTTGCTAGTACAAAGAAAAGTAAGAAAAAGTCACAAATACAATAAATAACTAATAAATAGTGGAAATCAAGAAATAACTCTCACATAGTAGTTAGATTACAAAATATCTGTGACAGACCAAAACTAGTCACAAAATTACAAGTGGGAAACACACAGGGGCTGTTCTCCAAAGGCATGCTAGTTCACAGAATTATGCCACTTGGCCAAATTGGCCAGTGCTTGCCAGATGATTTTTTTTCTTCTGTTCACAGCTTTCAAACAATTCATTATTTGAGCAGAAGCTCTAGCTTACCCTTGAGAAGTACTTAAATTACTTTCAGTGATCATCACATTTGAAGTATAAAAAAATCTATTCTTACAAATGACAATCAATTCAAAGGAAGACAGATACAAGTATATAAAATTGTAACCATGCAACCTGAAATTCTCAGATCTGAACTTACTTATCACTCAATAGGGAGAAAGGCAAAGTCTGCTCCCCTAAAAAAATTCAGCAACTATCATTTTGTCGTGAAAACAGGCACATTTCTTTTACTTGGTTCACATTTACTACTGAAGGATGCTTGGTTCATATTCACTGTCCATCAACACTATCTGTCTGAATACAAAGTCAACAGTGCATACTCTGAGCCCACGGGCGTGAACTGCACAGCACCAGACCGCCTTTAGTCATGTGGCAAGCTAGCGCCCCGAGATCCACATTCCATAGGTGAATGGGTTCCAGCCCAACACAGATGGAAGAGCCTTTTAAAGCACTAGTGAAGAGAGAGAGAAAAACAAACAAAAAAAAAACAACACGGCATCTCTTGAGGTGCTCCAGTGGAATGCAGGCAAAAAACTTTGGAGAAAAAGTAAAAATGCTCCCAATTGTACATTAGCACCAGAGATATCTTTAGTTAAAAATCATGGTAAGCAAGTAAATCTGGGTGAAATATCACCATACAGATTTCTTAACCAATTACTTAAAAGTGATCATGCAAAATATATTAAAAGTAAAAACACTATGAAATGGCATGAGACAGGAAGAAGGTGGCTGTGACGTGAAGAGGCGTAGTGTGGGTAATGTGTGTCACTCTACCACGATATGAAAGTTACCTCTTTGCTACTGGTCAAAATATCCTAAGCACCAGATCAAGGCAGCTTAAGGGATTCAACAGCTTAGGAAGCTGAGATAGAGCATTCTTTATGCGTTTGCTTACAAGGATTTCCTCCTTGGAATAAAGTTTTTGGGTGGACCTTTAATATTTACTAAGCAATTGTGACTGCATAAAACCCAACATTATAATCTATATTGGAACACTTCAAAATATATTCATGTACAGTTCTAAAGTAAATTAGAAAAAACATTCAAAATTTTGTTGTATTTTATGTTGTAGTCAAAATCTCAGAACACACAAAAAATGAGTAGGAGGCAAAATGAATTGCTACATAAAGAAAAGAACGGTGGAATACTTACAGTCTGCATTTTTCAGTGACTGTTTCTTTTTAGAAGGCTTGGAGATGACTTTGATTCGTTTACTGAGGAACACACCGATGTCATCGCTATTGCCATAGAACATTTTTACGGATAACATGAAGTGCTTTCTCTTGTCTGAATCTGATATGTATAACGTTTTGGCAGTGCAATAATTCTGTAGGTAAAAACATACTGTTGTTTCTTTTTCCAGATTAGCCCTGTTCAAGAAGCTATATGCATCATTGTGAACAAAACTGGAAACCGACATTATTTTCTAAAGCAGATCAGAAATTGCTTTCTCCATCTCTTCCCCCTACTGACAATGCTTGATTTTTTTTCCTAATTCATATGGAACACTTCCATATGGACATTTTTTATGAACTACTGTTTAGATTTGTGAAATTTAGCACCTGACTTCAGTACTTTAATTTCTTTCTAAATACCTTTACTAAGGCTAGAAAGCAGATGATGAGAGCCTATAGCTGGATCAAAGCCACATCTGAGTGGGTGAGAGCACTACTAAAAATTACGTTCAGGTAGAGCTATAAAGGCAGTACAGCAGACATGCACAAGAAGCTGCTTGGGCAAAAAAAAAGAATGCATTGAAACAAGCTTTTCTTGAAAAGATCAGAGAGGATTGGGTTTTGAAGCAAATGGAAAGTTACTAATAGCTACACGCCTGAACTAGGTGACAGCAGGAGCTTAAAAATCTCAAGAAGAACTTTTATTATCCTTCATTTTAAGAACTGAGTACTCAGAAACCACACAAAACAGTGTCTATCTTGGCATAACAAACACATTTCTGAGAAATTATACTACAAACTTTAAAGCTGCAACATCTTCAGTGGAATTCTGTGAAATCATGTATTTAAGCTACAATGTACACATGGTATGTATTTTGCAAAACCTCCTTGAGTTAGTAACTGCTCATGGAAGCAACTAGCCAGATTTCAGACCAGTTTAAAGAATCTGTTCAGACCCAAATCATCCATCTAATTGTGGTGACCTAGTCACTGGCTTCCATGGCAGCAAAATAAAGAGTAGCAGTTCCCTGACCCTGAATCAACAACCTACAAATGAAAAGTTAGTACCTTGCTATGATCCCATAAATCAAGTCCACTGACTGGATTGTCCTATATTTTTGAGGTATTTTTTAAACCACTTATGCAATATCTGCTGCAGTGTAATGAGAGTTACAATAAACCACTGCATTCCTTGAAAGATGCACCATGGAGTTAACATCTTTTGTGGTAATCTGAATGTTTTATGACACTTCTACCTTTCCTTCCAAGTTCAGCTGCTGCATTTCTTGGTCGCTGTTTCCTATCCCAATGAAGGCGCAGGGTTGTGACTCTTGCTCAGTACAACCATCCCGTTCCATTTGCTCTTTTTTTTTCTTCCATCCACTGCCCATAAGATACACACATGGAGGGGGACAAAAGAACCTGAAAATGAAAAATGAATTGTAACATTACACCCAATTTTTAAGAAAAAAAAAACAACAACAAACATTGAGACACAAACTGACATAGGCCCAAAGCTTTCTCAATCAATTTACACTTTGCATTACAGTTTATACACACATGCCCTTCATTTGCATTGAAGATTTCCTAAAATGCAAATCAAAAAAAAGAGAAAAAGCAAGGAAAATTAGCATTAGATGTACTGTCACCAAGCATCTTTCCAGTTCAATGACAGCTAACAGTATCTCTATAAAATGAAAACACTTTTAACCTTTACAAAGGAGAAATGTTCTTAAAGAAAGTAGAAAGGCCTTAAAAGTGATGACAGTGTTTTGCTTTTGTAGATGATTAACATGATTAAGACACACAGGACTGTTCCAGAAACTAATTTAATGAACAATTGGTGATTACAATTCCTAAACATCTTGGGTTTCATCATTAGCAAAGGAGGGAGTTTATTTTATCCAAGCATAAATCTCTTTTAGGTGATATTACATCTTCATCAGTAATCATAAAAAAACAAGATTTACTCTTTAGCAGCACTGACTGAAGTCAGTCTAAATGCTATTTAAAGCATTAAGTTCAAAAATAATTGCACTGTTACAATACCATGTATTAGTCTTGAAGTTTCTGCAAAATGTTAAAAGGCAAATCCTATTTGCTTTTGGGTTGAGTTTAGCCAACAGCTGCAGTGCTTTTATCATCACTTAGTTAAGATCAAAGTTGAAAAAGCAGCAGAACTACTAGCATATGCTAGCTATGGAGGAAGCTAAAGAGGCATGAAGGGGAAGGATGACTGAGAAAGTTTCTAATTATTCTAATTCAAATTGGAATATAGCACTTAATTTGGCACTTTCGAAATCCAAAGAGGACTCCTACTTTATTCCTGTAGGTAGGTACAATTTTTTGAAAATGTGGCCTGGAACAACCAAGTTCATGGACAACTTTTCTTAAATACTATGCTAACCTTAATTAGCGTAAGTCTGCTTTAGTATGAAATCAAGCTTAATATACTTCATCACTTCAACTATTCAGCACTATTAATGGCAATAAAATTATTTTAAGTAGTAGACTTCTAAATAGAAGAAATCAAAATCCTTCCTTACTAACAATATAATAAAAATGTAAATAGTAAGAACCCATACAACTAAACATAAAGATTTGTAACTATTTCAGTTAAGGCATACAATTAACTTACATTCCTTATTAGAGAAACAAACAACAACAACAAAAAGTACACATGAAAAGCCAGCTTTTAAAAGCTTATCTTGCCAAATAAATTCACAGTCACAAATTCTCACTTAAACGTCTCGCTCTTTTGCAAACACATCAAAACTGGTGATATACCAATATACCATACAGCTCAAATGTCTAGGAAAATCTTTCAAAGCACAACACACACTCTGCTTTGAAAAAAAGGACTGCCTACAAAAGGCAATTTGTAAAAGGTAGATTCATATAGGAGGCCGAAATATTTGCATGTTTGAAACACCCACGAAACTTATTTGTGGACCTGCTCATACAGTTTGCTTTTTTAATTCAAAGCCAACAGAACTAAATGATCTATTCCCTCCATTATGATAATCCACTTCAGCAGAGACATAGCATAACATTTTTTTGCTCCTTTTATTGCCTTCACTGTTTTGAAGGACAGAAATTTTGATGAATATGGAATTGGGAGCTAATGGAAAGCCACTTGTAGAAGTGAAGTGTTCAAAGTTAACAATGAACATTTTTCCTTATGCTTATTACATCAGTATTAACTATGCACATTTCATTTTTGGGAGGTAATTATGGGTCAGATGAAGACACGGATTTTTTTTTTCTTCCAGTCAAACATTCAGAACATTAACACAACAGGTAGAAACTTGCCAATTTGCAAAGCAGATGTTTCCTGATGAATCGTCAACTTGAAAAACTATGCAATAAACTGCCTCAAAAAATATTTAACAGCTTCATAATAGTGACACAAGAGAATACTTCCACTAGCACAGCCTTTAATGAAAAAGCTGAAATTTATAGTTATCCGACATTAGAACGCATTAGTCAAACTTTACTGCTCTAAGCAGAGAAGTTCTGAATTTTGAAGAATTTGACTTCAAATAGAAAGAGCAAGCAGTAATAAATAACTCTTCTGTGACAGCACACACACCATATATACCACCTTTAGGCTTATTATATGCCTTTTGCTTACTATCTTTTGCTACCTGACATCTGTTCCAGCCTTCTTTGTGAAGATGCTGAATGATGCAGCAGGGAGTATTTAAGATCACCATGAGTATCTCAGACACTAATCCCTTTCCCTTCCTACTGCAAAGTTTTCTCCTCAAAACCAGTAATGCATTTCCTACTTTTCAATTGCATTTATTTCAAAAATCAGATCAGCGCAGATTACATGACCTCATTTCCCTCAAATGTTTCTCTACCTTAAAGGAAAGATGACCTTAAAATACCTTATGTTTGTAATGACAAATATGACAAATATGTCAGTATGTCATTACATCAACCATGTTCAATGATAATCGTTAAAGTCACAGAAAAGTATTGAAGTGCAAGGCATTTGCTTTCTGCAGAACAACCTAATTTATACTCCTCATATTCCCAGCTCTAGATGTGAATACAATAGGTGTTGTTAAAAATCTATTCTGAGGAGCACCTAATGGTTGTTGCAACTTCTGGCATTTTGTAGGAAAACACCCAAAAAACAAAGCAAGAAATAATGCCTTTAACATTACACCGAGAAAATTCTGTCTGCAGACATTTAGGATTATATTTAAAGAAATGTATCCATACACACAGACGTGTATGTGGGTGGGAAGGAAAGGAGGAAAAGAAGTAGTCCCAAGCTCTGTATTACAAACAGGTATAATACCATGAAGAAAGCATCATGCATTTGCTTTTCTTCCTCGTGTAGTCTTTTTGTTTGTATTACTGGTCAAAACACCTGAAAAAAATCCCAAACTTTTTTCCTATCTATTCACATATCAGCTTTATTCTAACCCAAGTCCTTTACATGACTACGGCCGCTAGGTGGCAATAAAGACCTGTAAGAAAGAAGCTTTAACCCACTGATGAAGAGAAAACAAGCCACAACAATTACAGCTCTTTCTGAATTGAAACCGAGAAAAACTCTGGAAAACTTTGGATTACTGAACAAAGAAATAAACCTTTAACTTAGACCATTTTAAGTTAGGTTAAAACTACACAATGAGAGGAAAGAGTGGGTGACCATGATTTCAGTGGGGTTTCTTACGTGTCAGCCCTCAGATACAGACAAGGACACCACGGGGGCTTTTCACTTCTGCTTTAAAACCCCAGGAACCCACATATAGAAAAGGTTAACTACCAATTTTCTATGCAGAAGTGTGAATAAAAGGCACAAGTATCCTCCTATTTCTAATTTTCGTAGAGTAGTAAAGAATGTGTCTGATACGTCTAAGCTAAGTGCTAGGAAGTGTTTCTCCTTAGCAAACCATGCCCCATGTAAATAGGAATGTAAACATTTATGAGAGGCTGGCTTTCATGTAACTGTGAAATGGAAAAAAACGAGAAAGCAAATTGCCTCCCCAGAATTAGTTAATTTAGGTAATTTCCAGTGTTACTGATGGGGAAAACGGCAGGACAATGCTTGGTGGAACAAATGAAACTGCTCCTCCTTCAGCAACCTTTGACTTACAGGGCCGACCTCTTTTTTCTTTAACCACAAGCTAAAGTAAGACTGAGTGGGAGGCAAAAATTATTCTGAAGTATTAATCTGACCTATAGCAAAAAGAAAATGAGAGGTGCTGGGGGAAAAGGCAGCTGCCTCTGGTTCTTCTGAGCTTGGTCAGGATTTTCAGTACAGAAGTAACAGTGGAAAACCACAGAGGACGTGATTTCCTCTCTGGATTTATGACATGTTCTCTTAATACCTCTTCTCTGTGCCACGGATGGACTGGTAATTCTTTGTTGCATGAGCAGTAGAACAAAAAAGGGCATTCCTCCACGAGGTTAACACCTAACAACTTGATCTGGAAACCACATGAGATCTGATCAGCTCTTTAAGCTCGTTCATTACTGGAAGTGCAGCAGCCAGGAACAGCTTCATCAGACAAAACCCACTCCACGCCTGTTAAAGCCTCATGGCAAGGTGCAGATTCAGTACCTCCTATTTGCTGATTTAAGGCAGGGTGACTGGCTGAACCAGGAAAACGTTTTGGGATACCGGGTTAAATATACGAAGTACCTTCAGCAACCTATCCCCACAACATGCAGTTGAGAACAGATTCCCTGTGCACACCTGGTTTCTCAAGCAGAGGCTGCCTTCTCTCTGATGCCCCCTCATGCATCTTCCAAATCCAAGGATTTGTGACTGGTGTAACCAAAATGACAGGCACTTTTAGACTCAGCTAATATTGGGACTGATGTTAGCCAGGAAAGATCAGAGAAAGGATCAATCTGCAAAAATAAGAAGGCCTCTGCTATTTGCCTTCTTTCAGTATAATTTCATTTCAACCAAGGGAAGGGAAGGACGTAGCACTACCAACTATATTAAGGCTACGAGCTTAGAAACGCAGTACAGGAAACAGAAGCAAGCTGTTACTCATTGCTTCTGACACATCCAGCCCACCAGACTGGAAACCGAATGTTTTTTCACGGCAAGAGCACCAAGCTGAGGTGTCTGAGGGAGCTCCCCTTTATTCCAGACGACTTCAAGGGAAGAACAAGATAATTTCCAGTGGTTTCTGAGTCTTGACTGCAACAATCGAAAGAGGAATAGAGGAGTCTTTGGCAGAACCTGCAATATTGTTTTTAATCACAGTCACCCAAGGAGAGGGCAATATTCCCTCCATCCCTTCAGCCAACTAAAGCCAATCAATACAGAGAAATATGGTACTTCGAGCAGAGAAGCTACCCTTACTGAACCTGTCAAGAGAGGAAGGGGCAGAAAGTAAAATCAGATCAGGTTATGACATTGCTACCTAGCTGTGATGCACTCAGTGCTCTTTTAAAACCACAGGGCTCTGTTCCCTAAGGTTTGCTTTTTCATATATCCAAGTCATCTGCGCCTCTGTTCATCTTGTGGAAGTCAGTGCCTTAAGGAGGATTTAGAGGTGTCTACCATGTTTTCTTTAACTCCAGGGTGCCACTAGCAGGGAAGTTTTTCCTTTGTACCAGCTGGTCAGTTGGGTCAGGGCAGGAGGCTGGTAATTACCCATGCTGCTCTGAGCATGCAAACACCCAGCAGTCTTCTTTCCTTAGGAGCTGGATGGCCTGACAACATCCACTAAAGAACACAACAGAACATGAAATGAATGAAAAATAATGAGGGGCTTGAGTGCTGAGGATAAAGAAGTGGAGCCGTGAGGTAAGCCCTAGAAAAGGCTACGCTCTCAGCAACGAACACAGCACAGTATTTGAGCAGGAATTACAGGAGGTCCTTCACCAACAGTGGTACAAGATGCAGCTTGAACATTCGCAGTGATAGTGTTGAAACTGGAACAGCGTGTAGCCCACAAGTACCAGCCTGGCCCTCAGCTGCTGACAAACATCATCTTGGTATCCAAAACACTCGAGTCCTTGCAAGTGTTGAATGTTCACACTGTTCAAACCATGGCCCTTGTGCTAAGAAGGACCGACTGAAGAGAGAAAGCTCAGTGAATAGCAAGCATGGGCAGGAGGGAAGGGACACGACAAGCACAAGCTGTACACCCACACTCACTACGACTCAGCATCACCTGAGCCTCTGTCAGCTGAATGCCTTTGAAAGACGACGGCCAACCAGCAGGAAACATCAGGCAGAAAGTCTAATTCAGCTCAAGGGCAGCACCAGGCTTATAACCTCCCGACTTCTTCGTTAAACTGAACAACGGGAATTCCAGAAAGAGCAAGGCTAATAAAAAACGTCCACTCAAAGAAAGAAGCCTCCCTTCATTAGCACACCATTATTTCGGGACGAGTATCAGGAATACTCAAACTAATGCAGAAAGTCTCCACCTATGTGGGAGCAACCTGGAGTTGTCCTTCTGTGAGGACACTAAATCCAGACCATCTCATGAAAGACCTGCTTTCAACAGAGCATTTCACCATCTACTGTATCTCATCAAAACAGAGAAAGGCAATTATTGCACTGGACTTCTAATTATGCCATGCAAAGTCTTCTTTTTTTTTCTTTTTTCCCAAACACTGCAATATACCATATTCTTTATGGATCAAAACCTAACCAGTTATAGCCATGCCATACTGAAGTCCTGTGGAACATATGGCATTTGTCAGTAAAAACAGGTATGAGATAGGTCTATAATGATGTACAGAAAACAACTCTCTTTAGAAATGGTATTTACTATTAAAACGGATGAAAACTTGATTAACTAGTTGCATAAAGTAGCATTAAAGTGTCACTAATTTCTCCTCAGTCCAGCAATACAAAAGACAAAAAGGGCACTTTTCTGCTAGGAATAAACCAGAAGCAATTTAAAAACTCAATAAAATAAATAAAATAAAGAAGCTAATTAATCATTCCATTGCACAAAGTACCTTGGGGGCACACAAGGATACAAGGATTTAATAACTAGAATTTTTGGTTATGCTGACAATCCAGATAACAACAGGACATCATTGCTGGTGCTCACAGCCTGGGAGGTAGCAGAACAGTACCAGAAATAGTCTAAAAAGTGGGTTAGTAACATAAAAGGGGTTTTAACTGAAAAATGAATCATTAGCATGTATTCCAAACACCTATTTCTTCCCTGTACCAGAGTGGCAATCAGATTACAGAATTTCTAGGTTGGAAGAGACCTCCAAGATCACCGAGTCCAACCTCTGACCTAACGCTAACAGTCCCCACTAAACCGTATCCCTAAGCTCTACATCTAAACGTCTTTTAAAGACTTCCAGGGATGGTGACTCCACCACTTCCCTGGGCAGCCTGTTCCAATGCCTAACAACCCTTTCAGTAAAGAAGTTCTTCCTAATGTCCAACCTAAAACACTCCTGGCGCAACTTTAGCCCATTCTCTCTCTTCCTGTCACCATCATATTATTTTATAACAAGCATCCAACTCTTTTAATTCCTAGCCTTTTTTTGCAGAGCTCTGAAATCCTGCACACCACTGACACGCTCCCATTTTTAAGCAGGGAAACTGAGATACCTTTCAGGAACAGCTATGGCAGTGCTGAGTTAGGCAACTACACTGCACCCCACAAAATCCAGGTGGTAGAAGAATGCCTAATGCTACTTTGCAATCATTTCAAGCAGTGAGAAACGAATTACTAATTTACAGAGTGCTACCAGTACTCGAGAGTTTAGGCAATATATGTGCCAAAGTGACTTTCACAGCACCAAACGAGGCATACGCACATATTCAAGGCAATAGGAATTTACAGCAACGCTATGAAAAGCACGTTGGAGCTCCCAGAAACTGTTAGCAGATAATCCAAAGCTCTGCCCTGTGTTCTTCATAACACTTAAGTTTTCCAGACAGTAATGGAACATTCAATAATCAAAACAACTGACTTTATCTTCTTACTTTCTCCCTCCTTCTGATGCAATTTGTTCTCCAACCTAATGAGACACAGGGCAGGTTTGCAGAATGTTCCTGCTTTCACGAGAACTGCTCTGGCCCCAGGAGAAGAAACCGACTGAAGTTACAACCGAGCTGTTTCGAGATTTGCTTTCATATCTGCTGGCACGCACCTCATTTCTCTGGGACTAACGTGCTTAATTCCTCTGCAATGAGCCTTCACTATGCAACTCTTGAATGACAACAAAATCTGGGAGGAAAACAAACGGAGGTATCTATATTGCCATGGTTAATCTTTGGCTGTTAGATTTGCTGCAAAGGGTTATTTACTGCTGGTAAGGACTTGCATTGCAGCTCTTTTGGAGGGCAGTGAGCAGCAGAGGGCTGTGTAGATAAATACACAGTAAAGCCACAGCACACTTGCCTGCTTTTGTGCCCTTCCTCCTGCCCTGAGTGCCCATTTGATTCTCATCAAGAACCTCAGAAAGATCTAAAAAGCACTCAGAATAAGTAAGCAAGTGGAGCTGCTGAACCAAAAACCGCAGAACTGCCCTAAAGAAAAGATTTGAGACACTGACCATCAGGGAAGAAGACACATCTTGGAAGAGAATTACCCAGGCACAGAATACTAAAGAACCGTTTGCACCTCCATGACCCACAAACATCACGAAATGTGTTTTAGATTGGTAGTACTGAACAGAGAACTTCATAGGCTTAATTCTACTATATATCTATATTCCTGTTTACTAACATTTGCCTAGGAAAACAAGTTAAAATCTCCAATCTCAGAAAGCCGTAAAAAGCAATGATAGATTCCACAACCATGGGGGAAAAAAGGTTGAAACTTCAAACCCATTAACATGCAGAACGTGCTCTTCTGTGGTGAAGAAACATTACAAATCCAAAGTATCTGAAAACTCCTAATTGAACATGGCACTATTTATTTTAGTGAAACTCAAGGTAGGAAAGTAACTTTCATAATTAAAGACAACTCTATTTCATCCTAAGAGGACTAGAATCTGTATATCAAGAATCACCCTACTTGCTTCTACCACTCATGCAAAAAAAAGCATCATACAGGGAAGACTACAGGAAATTCACCTTTGCATAAAAAGCATTCATCCTCACATCTTCCTGTAGTGTCTGTCCCCTACCTATTACTGAAAATTAATTGTACTGTATTGATTTTTGTAAGAGAATGTTTATCACAACCATGAGGCTAGCAATTTCATAATAACCACACACTACAGCGTCCCTAGCTGGAAGCTGTGGAAGGAAGTCAGCAAGGATAAGAGACTTACCTTTTTTCATTTCCATATGATTTCTGCGCAACTTTTGCATGGAGTATTAGCACTGTTTGATCACCTCGCTCCTTTAGGTAATTTCGCATTGCTTCCCTAAAAATTAAAAGACAAAATAAGTTTTGAAAGTTCTTTTGGTTTTGCTTATAGTTACAATAATCCAAAGGCAGCTTTAGGACAGAAAGATACAAATGAAATTGAAAACAACAACCGTTAGTACATTGATAGGGTGAAGATAACTTGTTTTGTTTGCTATGACAACTGCACAGCAAAAACAACAAACTATTTGGTATCAAGCTAGCAGTGCAGCAGTGGTTTGTGGTCATTTACAGCTACTACTGCACTGTCCACAAAAAAGGATGTTTGCGATATGAAATCATCTCAGTGCCTATCACTACAACACATTCAAAATCTGACTTTGTAAAATTCAATCCAAATATTCGATTAGAACCCAATTCAATATTGTCTCTTTAACCAGTACAGTTTCTCATGATAGCAACAAATTGTTCTGAAATTTCATTTAAGCTATTAACTGAATCAATACTTTTGTCATGTTTCTGTTAGTTTTCTTTTGGTTATGAAGATAAGAAAAAAAAATCTTTATTGTTTGATCTAGTTTTCTAGAGAAATCTTTATTTCCTGCATACAATCAGGCCAAAAAAAAAATAATAGATTTTTCTATCATTCATCATCACTGTAATGACAGAAGTCATAAAAGCTGTAATTACCTCAGACACACCAACAGCCATTCCTTGAGAGAAATAAGAGAACAATACACCCTATCATTCCTCTGTATAATAATCTAACTGCTCATTAAGCAGCATGCCAAATTCAACACCCTAGGGTTTAGCTGTGTCAAAGTGCTGACAGAACATTTTTAAGTCCCTGGAGGAGCTTTTGCAGGTTGAATGCCCACCAATGCACTCATCTTCAAAGTCATCAACCATACAAACAAATTATGAATTTAACAGGAAGTTATATAAAGAGATGAAACCTTACAGAAGAGGAATTTTTTATGAACTGCACTGAACTGTTGAACTCCCTTTAGACAGACCTGTGACACCAAAGTAAACTGACATCTTGGCTTCTCTGTAAAAACATTTCCAGTGAAAAAATACGGAAGACAAAAGCAAAATTTTGTTGGCGACACCTTTTCCAAAAGAAATCCCCCACATACAGTTTCATAAAGGAAAGCAAGTCGGTGGGGTGGAGGCAGGGGGAAATGATAACAATCCAGCTTTGCTAATGACGTGTTTTAAATTCATGCATTTGCCATGCCCGTGTAAGACGGCAGCATGTAAGAGCAGAGAAAAGTCAAATTTTTGTTTTAGCTGAATTAACTTGATCTATTTACATTTGACACTGGTAAAACTGATGCTCATCCATGACAATACAAATTGTCAGAACTGTCTCAAACTGCATAAGCACTTTATTTGCAATCGTTGTTTACAAATATATCTTAAGCCACAAGACACATTTCACTGAGCAAATATTCTTACACGTTATAATAGACCAGCTGCATTTAAGTGGGTTAAAAACTTTATCTGACAATTTGAAATATTCTATCAAAAGTACTGTCATACTAAATTAGGAGCATCTGATATATTAAAAAACTTTTGGCTTGACTACCATTAAAAAAAAAAAACACCCCAAAACCCAGCAACTCAGTCACTAAAAATGCTAAGTGCTACCTAATGTTTGTGTAGCTTTGTGTCAGGAAGAAATTCTGCTTTTTCAACTGGTCAGTTGCTACAGCAGACGTGTATGACCTGAGCTCCTAGGAGAACAAGGAATGTTCCCCTACAACTCCTCCTACTGATACAGAAAACGTGTAAGCACTGCAATCCTTACATGGCATTTTTCATTATTAAATCTCAAACCTCTCCACAGAGGTAATACTATTGAAGTTTACACCTTATTACAAGAACAACTAGCACAGGATGAACGAAGCTGTGAGTGTTTTCATTGTCAACGAACTTGCACAGCAAAGAAAAAAAAAAGTTTCAGCATTTCCTAAGAAGCACATCTGAAAAAAAAATCTTGTTACACTTGCATGAGGATGAATAGATTATGAGGCAAACAGGACTGTACAAAAAAAGAAGATTAATTTTACCAAAACCAAACTAAATGCCCTTAACTTTTTTTTTTTTTTTTAAAAAGCATTACATAAACGAATTATACTCCTAAAAATGTGAGGCTTCCCCCGCCCCTCTCTTCAGAGAAAAGCAGTTTGGTTGCTTCCTTCTAGCCCCTCATATAGCTGAGGTTTCCAAGCTCTTGCCTTGGAGGATGGCTAGCAGTTCCCAGATGCCTACTCTATAATCACAGTAAAAAGCACCTGACACATCTAATAGCTGAAAGCCTGCACATGAAATTTAGAGTCACTATATTTAAGTGATATCATAGTTAAAAGACATGACTAAATAGTCATTAAATTTGTTGGTTTCAAGTCACGGAAGGTAAACTCTAGCACTAACTTTAGGCTGATACTAGTAGGTGTTACTGCTCAAGATGAAGAGCAGTTCATGACTTCAAACAGTACCTTTAAATATCCCTTAAAATAGGTAGGTCAACAGGAAACAGCAACGTTTGTTCAATTACAGCTTTTAAGTCAGTCTAGACCAATTTGATCAATTTTGCACTGAAATGAAGTTAAAGACAAACTAACATGAACCTAACCAGAAATGCAACAAGACTGATAGCCCCAACACAAAATGCAGACACTTTTCCCTCCATGCTTTACACAATTTCATTCAAAACAGAAGTAGGCCACAGTAATGCTGGGTTTCCATGTCTTTATACAGCAAGAACATCACACAAAACTGTGAAAAATTGCAGATCTTGTACACTTCAGAGGATTTTAACACAGTAGAGGCTTTTGATGGAGGCAGAGAAAAATAAATATTTGCACTGCCTGTGTTACTAGTTTGAAAAATGTTGACAGCTTCTAGCATAAATTCTTTCCTAGAGAGCCCAGAAGCAGTTGAGGCAGAGTACTCCACAGTCACATGAAACACTTTCCAGAACGAATTGCCTCGATGGTGCTATTTCATGTCATCGCTGACTGCTTAGGCTTCACCAAAAATTGGGTAAGACCGCTCCTTGACAGCACCACGTGAATTCTGCTCTTACCTGCAGCATGACAGCAGTAACAGAGCAACCACATTTTGCTAGGAGAGAATGCTGTTTTATGACTTCACAAGTCACTTTTAAAATAAAAGACATCTGGCTTACCTGTGGTTATCTAAAACTAAGCAGATTCACACCCTACTGAATAACCTACAATAATGGACATCTGAAGTCAGTGGGATTTATAAAAAGGCATTTTGAATAGCATACTAAAAACAAACAAGCCACTGGCTGTTCAGTTTTCTTCTGACTGCTAACTGCATACAATAATCACATTTTAAAAAAAAAGCTTTGATGTTTAAAATTCTAGGATTAGCAATTCACACTTTTTAAATGTGGAAATCCTTCTCGGGATGAAGAAGGAAACTTCTGAATATTCCCCAAAATAGAATTTCTTTAACACTTACCTGGTAAGCCGTTTCGGTTGAGGTCGCTCTCCAAATTTCCTGAAAAAAGAAGAAATTGTTAGTTTAAAACAAAAATGTCTAGTCATAATTCCAAAATTAAATAGTACCCCAATTTTACAGTTTCTGAAAATGTACTGGAAGATGGGATACTGTCTTTGCATTTCCTAGCTTGATTCCTATTACAATGCCATTCATCTTGCAACAGCTCCTCCCACAATAGCAGAGGCATTTGTTATTCAGAAGACTAGATAGTTTTCTTTGCTGAATATCTACAAAGTATTTCATTTACACTAGTTATTTTAACACTAAACAAGTCTTTCATTTACTTGACACTTTTAAAAAATGCCTCCAGCAACTCACTCCTTTTCATTGTCTTTTCTGTCAGAGCCACGTCTACTTTTTCCCCAAATTACTTTTGAAAATTTACGGTATCACAGCTACGTAGATAACCAGAAGCTCTCTGCATTGCTCAGAAGTGCCAAGAAAAAGCAGTTATTACCCCCAGAAATTAAGAGACTTAGCTCTGCGCTAACAAATCACAGCGACTTCTCCCCACTGGGATAATTTCTCAAAAATCTGTTTCTCTTTACGGCGCAAAAAGGATGACAACATACTTCATAGTGCTGGTACAGAATTATAGGAGAAATCTCTTGTGAATTGTAGCGAAGCACGAGCCAGAAATAGCCTGGTATACACCGAATGTTGTTTAGTCAAAGTGTTTTGAGACAGCTGCATTTCCTCCAGTGCTTTCGCTTGCTCTTGTACGCCCCTTACACGAGCCTTAGCTAACATAAGAAAATGAGTTTACACAAGGCAGTAACACTTTTAGTAATAAAAATCAGCCTCAGATTAAACCCAAATCATCGAGTAGAAGACCTGAGCAAAAAAGGACGGCTGTACACAGCGATGTACATCTGCTCAACCTGGTACGGAAGTATAACCGCAAAATAAAATGAGGACAAAGAAAAAGGGGAAAAAAAAGGCACTTATCAGCTCGAAGACAAACATCTAACAGGCTTAGCTTAACACTTTTCTATCTAAAAATAAACCGAGGCACAAGAGAGAGCGCTGCTGCTGTCAGTGCTCATAACTATCGCTGCGCCTTGCCAAGCCCCTCGCTAAGCGGGCATATCTTCCCCTTCACGCTTCCCAGATGAAGGAGAAACCCGCCCCGAATATTTCCCTACAGCAGCCGTGGAGGCTCCCCAGGACAACGAGGACCCGCCGGGGGAATTCCTGGTGGCATCACCGAACCATTTGTGCAGCCAGGCTGCCCGGGGCTGCTCAGCTTGGGGAATTACTCGCCAGCGTTTCGATTTCATTTCGGTACCGCTCCAGATGTGCAAAGCGTAAATGCGCAGCTCGGGTCATTCACATTCTTTGTTTCACCCCCTCCAAACCTTTTAATTTACGAAGAGAAGAATGACGAGGTGCCCGTTTGGAGGACAGGAGGCGTTACACGCATGACACCTGCTTGGCCAACAGATGCAGCCCAAGAGGAGGCCACGAGCACAGCAGAAACCACGCAGCCCACAGCACTCCCAGCCCAACCCGCCTCTTCTCCAAGGCAGCATCTGCTGGTGCTACCTCTGGGCGCAGCAGGTAAAGCTGCACGAGCAAGGCATGGAACAGGTGAAATGACTCAAGGAAACAAAACCCAGCCCCTTGGCTGGGGTCCAAGGCAGAGTGGAAGCTTTACAGGCCTCGTGAAAGCTTGGAGTCATTCTGGAGATGCGCAGCGTCCCCTCACAGAGCCCCTGACGGAGTCAGAAATTGAACTCCGGTCACTTGACGCTGGGCGCAGCACCTCCCTGCACCTCCTGGCAGCCTTCCCCAGCCCCTGCCATCCACGAGAAAGCTCACGGCTTCACTGGAATCCACTTGGGAACACACACAAATGCGACCTGTAGCAACACGAGCCTTCTGCAGAGATGATGTTACACGCAAGGCAAGGTAAAATAGGAGGAAGTTACAGACTCACATTTACTGAAGTCCAATTTTTGACACGCTAATTAAATACAGCTATTGCTTCTCCAGTAACGTCATCTTACAGAATCACAGAATCTCCTGAGTTGGAAGGGACCCAGAAGGATCATGGAGTCCAACTCCTGGCTCTATACAGGACCTCCCCAAAATCAGCCCATGTGTCTGACAGCATTGTCCAAACATTTTTGAGCTCAAGCAGGCTCAGTGCCATGAACACTGCCCTGGGGAGCCTGTCCCAGTGCCCGACCACCCTCTGGGTGCAGAACCTTTCCCTAACCCCCAGCCTGACCCTCCCCTGTCCCAGCTCCACGCTGTTCCCTCGGGTCCTGGCGCTGTCCCCAGAGAGCAGAGAACTTGACCAAAGACCGGTGTTTGCACACCTCATCCTTGCTGTCAGTGCTCAGCACCTCCCGGCACCACCTCAGCATCTTTTCAAGAATCCCATGAATGTTCTTGAGAACTTACAACTCTTAAGTCCTGACCTACAAATGATAGTCCTCAATAGGCTCAAACTCCTAAGGCTTTAGTGAGAGAGAAACCCCGAGAGAACAGCGACAAACGGATACAACCACCTGCAAGAAAAGGTATGCAGGATGTGAAAAGAAGATGGTTATCCTCTATTTCTCACAGACAGGAATTAGGAAATGCATCTGTCATTTCCAAATGTCATTCCAAAAAAAGATTTTTCGTTGCTCTACCAACACTTGATTTTTTACACTAAGCTGTGACACATACTGCTAGACGATGCTGTGGAAGCTGAAAAAAGGACTTAAAAGCTTATATGAAAGTCTGGTACAGAACCCTGTTAGTTTCTATTAAACCTAATGACCTATTTTTTTCACAACCTTGTTCTCAGGAAACCCTAAACCGTGATCTACCAGCAATAAAAATCAGTCAGCATTTGGAGCTGTCTTTGATTCTTTCCTTGGTCATCTGCTGCTGATGGCTGGCAGGCACGGCCCAGTGTCTGCACCCCTGGGAGCCCGACTATTCTGCAGCAGCTGTTGCACCCAGGGCACCAAACTTTCAGTCGCATTGCAAACCTCAAGATACACAAAAAAAAGACAGGAAAACTAGAAGTAGCACATGTATTGCATTTAATGGTTCATTTGGTTTGCTCTTTCCACATGTTTTCAATTTGCTGTCGATACCTGTATCAGCAACGCAAGGCGACGTACAAGGACCACCAGTAACTGCCGTGTACAAGGCTGCTTAATGTTTGCGATGCCAAGACTGACACTCTGGAAGTGCAAGAAACATTTACAGTTTTGTGCTAAATGACAGACAGTGTATAAGCTATGATTGCAGTAATTTCAAGCTATTTGGCATGTTGAAATATAAGCCAGTTCAGTTTTGTCAGCATTACCTGACAGAGCTTGCAATATTTCTCTCACGTAGGCTTTTCCTGGATTTCTCTGCTCTGAGATTTCTTTCTGTATTCAGCATTTCTCTTACTCCTCTTTGTATACATCTTGAAAATATGCAGATTGATGCATTAAAAAATGTACAGGAAACAAAATGTATCACAGACCATTTCCTCTAGTGGTTATAAAATAAGCTAAATATATATAATTTGAAGTCCTAATAAGAAGTTGTATATAATTATATCTGCATGCCCTCTCATTTCCTTATTTTTTTACAACTCTCCAAGACTAAGCACTGCTTCAGGTGTACATTTCAATTCACAAATCTGATTCAGTGCAAACTGTGTTTCACTAACACACTGCACTGCAAACAGCAGCACGAGCGCTAGGCTCACCAGGCCCACTTGCTGCTGCAGACAGTTGTGCCGGTTCCAATAATTCTTTTCCCAGTCCTGTGTTTTCTCCAACCACCACTTTGTATCCTATTACTTGATGTATTTTACTTGTCCTCTGATAACTTTGCATAAATTAATTTCACTTGCACGTTCCGCACTGTAGAAATAACTCTGCTCGCACATCGTGTCCCAAATCACTCTTCTTTTCAAATCCATCCTTTCCATTTAGCAAGCCCCAGTTTGCCATTCAGATTTTTATTCAAACTTCTTTTTCTCTGTTCATGGAATGGGAAGAAAACGCATTCCTTCTAGCTCTTCGCACGCTGTACCTGCCTGCCTCTCAAGTAACCCTGGGAATGAACAACTGCACTAACACGAACCTTGTAAGAACACTAACTGCTCCTGCTCAATTTTTTAATATTCTCAGGTTAGGTAAACATGACACAACACCAGTGGTAATTCCCAAATGTTTTCAGAAAATATCGGAATGCCACATCCTATCAGGAATGCCTCACTCAGATACCATACACATTATACCACAGTTTCCTATCACTGTGAGAGTGGAAGTTCCATCCTTGCCAGCATCTACATAAGAGCACAACAAAAATTTATCAGTTACTGTAAGCATCTACTAGCAGTACCCAACTTGCTTCTGCTACACAATCTTACTTTCTGTTGCTAAACTGAACTGTTCTAGCTGAATATTTTTTTTCCCCAATGACTCTGTGTTTCAAGTCAACTTTGGAAGGAAAAAATAAATTAAAAGCAAGGCAGTTTTGCATTTGCAAGAACTATAAAAAAGAAATCCCAGGCTGTCCCATCCGCAACTTCGACTGAAACTTGGTGGTTGCTGAACTGCTGTAGCATCCTCATGCCTGGAACGTGAACTTCACATTCTTCCGGCACTGGCCTTTAGCCAGGAACAACCCTTTCACAGTCCCCGAGAAAGCCCGTTCACCTTTATTTACTGAGCTCGTTAGCCTTAAAAAAATATTTCCGCAACCATCTAACAGAGGCAAACTTCAGCAATTTGCCTTCAGAATTCTGTCTTCCCTTGGCCTTTTGGTATGTAGCATAAGTGTCATGGATCTGACTGTAAATAGTGGGCTCCTGTGAGGCAAAAAGCAAAGGGGAGCTGTCGAATTTGAAGACAGTAGGAATAACAGCTGAGTGGAAAGAGTATGCTGGTGAGGCCAGCATGCAGGGAGTATCAGGAAGAGCAGGAGTTGGAAGACATGAGGGGCAGATTAGGACTGGCCAGCTAAGAAGAATGGGCTGGAGAAGCACATGATGGGAAGTGAGGCACCAGAAAAGCTTGATTAAAAGTAAAAGCGAAGTACTTGACTTAGCCTGAAGAATCCCAAAACGTACAGCAGGTATCCACGTGTTGGTTGGTATCTAAGTAAGCACCTCTTTTTTTTCCTTTTGCCTTACACAAGCAGGAAGGGATGTTCTTGGTGTTGTGGGTTAGCCCCAGCAGGCAGCTAAGCACCATACAGCTGCTGGCTCACTTCCCCCCACTCCCAGTGGGATGGGGGAAGAGGAAAGGAAGAATAAAAAGCAAGAAAACTTCTGGCTCCAGATTAAAAAAAAATGTTTAATAAATGAAGAAGTGGAAGAAGACAGAAAGAAAACAAGCAATGCGAGGCAATCACTCGCCACCTCCCACGGGTGGATCAATGCCCAGGCAGTTCCCCCAAAAAAGACTGCCAACCTCCCTAAACCCTCTCCCGTTTATTGCTGAGGACAACACTTTATGGTAAGGAACATCTCTTGGGTTAGTCCGGGTCATCTGCCTGCTCGTGCTCCCTCCTGGCCTCTCACAAGCCCCCAGTGCACTCACTGCGAGGCAGAAAGGCCTCTATGCTGGGCAAACCCTGGTCAGCAACACCTAAAACATGGGAGGGGTGTTAGCAGCAGTGCTTTGGTCACAAACCCCAAACACAGCACCAAAACAGCGGCTAGGAAGCACGTTAACCCCACCCCAGCCAGACCCAGTACATAGGGTCACTGAAGGGAAAGCGTGTGCTTTCTGCAGGGGAAGAATACTGCTTAGAAGAAACTTTCCTGGAAAAAAGTTATCCCATGGCTGTTTAATGCAAGAGTTCCGGCTCCTTCTCCTGAAGCAGAAACCTCCCGATGTTGTCAGCCATAAAATATGGCAATCACTGATCCAGGACAGCACAAGGCCCGGAGCCTGATGAAGTGGCGAGTCCCACTTGCCTTAAACAAAGCTGTCAAACGAATGGGCTTTGAGACACGCACAGTGTACTTATTAGGGGATAGAGATGATTAAGAACACTAAATTAAATACAGAATAGAGCGACTACAGAAAGTTTTACTTCCTCAGAGGAGGTCTGCGGGAAACAATGCTTGAAATAGGAGGAATCTAATGAAAAGATCTTCAGATTTTTATAGCATCTCCGGAGACGTTTCAGAATACACTGCCCCAGTCAGAAAGAAAGAACAAATTCCAACCTCTGCTCTCCAATGACACGAAGCGACAATGAAGCCTGATGAGAGGCTGAAGTTACGTGCCAACAGCTCTACACCCCTGATTTCTGGGGAATAGGTGGTATCCCGAAAGCCATTCATTGTGACAGGGTGGGGAGTGAAGAAATACTAACATTTCAGCCACTACAGGTACGCTGTGGTTGGGAGTGTGCTAAACGAAAACTTCTGTCCTTCCCTTGATCCCCGTTCTGAAAGCAGGCTGCTCTCAGATGCAACCAGCTCCGGCAGCACAGCCACGTACATCTGTGAAGGGACGTGAGGAGTCTGGGGCTGCACAACGAGACAAAAGCCTTTTAAAGAAAGAAAGAAGAAGACAAGTAATTTGCAGGCATTTTTTACAGTTTTCCCTCAAAATCAACAACTCCAATGTATCTGGAAAGGCAGAAAATCTTTGAAATGTAAGTTTAGTCTTCAGCACAGGGTGGCTAGTCGTAACGGGGCCTACTGCTTCTCCCCCAACAAACAAAAATAATCTTCACTGAATTCATTTCGAGTGGCTGTGTGGTCAGTTATCGCAAGCCTATTAAAAGCTGTGTACAGGTTCGCCAGGATCGTTCACAGCGCAGTGCTATTTCGAGGCTTACTGAGCTCGCTGAGGTTACCTTAGAGCTGGGGAAGTGAAATGCTAGGCTTTCGGTCAGTTTTACACTTAAGGTCTGTATGGAGGATTAATATAGAAGTATCAATTTTCAGCAGTTAACTGAAACATTAGTATATTTTTTTAACCCCCCCCCCTTCATCTGCTGACCCTTTCTGACTTCAGAGAATCCTCAAACGGTTTGGGTTGGGAGGGACCTCGAAGGCCACCCAGTTCCTACCCCTGCCATGGCAGGGACACCTCCCACTAGCCCAGGCTGCCCAAAGCCCCGTCCAGCCTGGCCTTGAGCACCTCCAGGGATGGGGCATCCACAGCTTCTCCGGGCGGCCTGTGCCAGGGCCTCACCATTCTCAAGGTAGAGAATTTCTTCCTATAGAAGAATTTCTTCCCATTTGCTTCCATGTGCTTATCATAGAGAAATTAGCGAGGTACTGAAGAAGCATAGAGGAAAGTTCATACTCAGCCTTCAAGCATGCCTAAAATTATCTTAGCCTCTATATACAACAGCATCAACATCTAGGACATACTGAACAGACCTCAGGAGCCATCCCTTCATTGCCTGTTGCTTAAAAACACTTCATACGTGTTAAGCAGTACACTGCAATCTACGTGGTAAGACACCTACTCTAGATCAGCCTCATCGTGTTTTTACAGATTTCTACATTTGCAGATTCCTACATTTTCTACTTCCAATAACATAAATTGCACCTACATTATAAGAAAACCAGCACATAGAGGTTTTAAAGCACAGGATTTTTTTCTTCATGCAAATGTATTTTCTGGTACACATACTTCTCTGAAGGCAAGATGCAAATACTGCCAATATTTCTGCACGTTCACCTACACAACCATATTTTCTCACAAGCATGTTGGAACACAACTCCCAAGAGAAAAGCTCGTCTCCCACTAGGAAACGACATCCCATTTCCCACTAGGAAACAAAACAGCCATCTGTGATCCTGCACGAGCTTGACTACCAAACTTCATACAGTAGTTTCTTCTATATCTAGTATGTGTTTCACAGACTAATAATATCTGTTGATTCACACCATTTTTAATATGTTTGCCTATGTATTTGATTTTCTAAGTCCACCTCATCCCCCTCTGACTATTTGTAATGAGGCTGGAAATACAGTATTGTTACAAATCGCCAGTGGAAAATACAACTCAAAAAATAATGCTCTGGAGGGTTCACACACACATTTGTGCTCAAATTGAACATTTCACACTTAACTTTCACATGGATGAAGGTAGTGAATGAATGAAAATACAAATGGCTAAACAAAGACCTCTGCAAGGATAATTATATCTTCTCCAAGACAAAAATGGGCTCACTACGCACAGGTGAGATCACCAAGGAAAAGGAAAAGGTTGTACTCCCAGTAACACACAGTGCTAAACAACCAACACATTAGAAGCAAAAACTAGCAAGAAAGAACCAAACCAAAATTTGAAAATTGTGAAAAGACAGATGATGAAAATTCTTCTCGCAGCCCCTCTTCAGCCCATGACTCCGCACATCCTGAACCATTCACAAATTCGGAGCAGAGTTCCTTTCCCCAGGCTCAGCCACCCCAACATCCCACACGTGTCTTTTCTTTGCCCTCCCCTGATCTCTGCAGTTTGCCACAACTGAAAGCCATGCAGCCGAATACGACCCAACCCGCACCGGGAGCGTTCCTAACTCCTGTGGCTTCTTTATCTGTGCAGCATCTCCGAGAAAGGAGTTCACAAATCCTCAGGCTACTCGCGCCCTAAACATTTTATGGTCTTCTAATATTTCCTCTGACTTCGCAGAACCACAGTTGTTGTTGCTGTGCTACTTCCTCAGGAAAAATACTGCCATGGCTGGTGTTCAGGTCTGGGAAAGGTGCATCAGACACCGACGGTTATGCAGATCCATTACTTCACAGCTGTGTGTGCATCTTAAGTGCTCTTTCTTGCAATGAACGTACTTGGATTCATGTAGTAAGATGCATCTAACTAAGCCACAGATAAATGACGCGTGTCAGGAGCTCTTACTCCTTCGACAGCATCACACACGTGAGGTATGGCAGCAGCTGAAGTGACATCTGTCTCCCTCCAGGTGCGACTCAAGAGCAGCGCACGCAGCCGCAGAATCGCACCCGGCCCTCAGCTCGCTCTCGGTTTTGCCAGGCCCTGATCCTGATCAGCCGTCTGCCATAACAAACGTTGCCATAAAGACTTTGTCCTGAAGATTAGCAGTTTAACCTACTTGTAAAAGAAACCATGGCTTTCACATCCACACATACCATACAAAGAGCCAACCTCAGATAACCTGCTTTGAAATACTACCGACCCAATGTACCCTCTCTTTCCTATCCATCCTGCAAAAGGAGATGAAATTAAAGCCCCACCAACTGAGGACATTTAAGGGATTTGAACAATGCATTCCTGCTGCTCCTGAAGTCCTTTCCTCCCCGGAACGGGCGGACGATGGGCAGTCCAACTGCACTCTGGCCCTTTGGCAGTAGGGAGCAGCCCTGAAGTCACAAAACCAGCACGCTTTTGTTGATCAACACACAAAGTGTTCCCTCTCTTCAAGGAAAAGAAAAAAAAAAAAAGACCCACCTGCTCCAGGGCGAATGCCAGCAGCCACGCACGATCACATCTCTGTACTGCATGATCCTGCGCTGCTCCGGCCTGTGCTCGCAGAGCCCTCCAGCCCCGGGAACATGTTCTGTGTTTGAAGCAAGCCTCCTACTGTACAGCGCTACGTACACTTCTGGCACCATCTCAAATAATGCTGACATAAATACAATAGAAAAGGCTCCGGTTCGGTTAGTCACGCCCTCTCACTGGAAGTCCCTGGTTCAATTAGGAACTCCCTCTCCCTTTTCTGACCTGCTTTCATCCTCCCACGTTGCTTTCGTTATTGTCCTCTCTCTTTTCCATCCCCCAGATAAAGGAAACCAGAGCACCACAACTGCAGTCGACAGCTCACACTGCTATCAGCAAACAGGCTGACCTTCAAACAGCTTACAGAAGTAAACGAAGTCACTGGTTTATACTGGTTATACACACTTGGAGAAAGAACTCCATCCAGTAAATCAGTGTTGGTTCGAATGATTCTAAAAATCTAAGGTTTGGTCCAAAATGGACATCAGTTTACTGCAGACAGGACCCACACAGCTGTGCCACAACAGGATGGCAAGCAGATCAGTAATGACAGCCTATTTTAGGACAAGAAAGTGACTGAAACTTTTCCTGTAGATGTATTTTCCCTGCTTTGATTTTTGCTTTAGGTACGTGTTACAAGAAGCTACAATAACTCAAAAATCTCAAGTACACCAAATAACTCCTCAAAGTGATAATTGATAATAATCAACTTAAAGCATGCCAATGAAATGGTAGAATGGTGCAGAATGTAAGAATCATCATCAAAAATGACTGTATTTATAAAGATTCCTTTAAATTCACAGGCTACTAATTCTTTTTGACTGAATCCATTAAAATATTGGCTCAGAAATTCACTGGAAACTGCAGATTAGCACACACCTTAGCAGCTGTAAGGGTTATCAGCTTGAAAAATCAGTACACCAACAGAATCTCCGTCCCTAAAACACAATGTAACTTGGCTCAGCTATTGTAAGCGCATGGGGAATGAGCAATATAAGACTCGTTAATGTTATCTTCATCCACTCAAAAAAAGCGACTGATAAGAAAAAGGAAAATAAATGCACATAGTTCACAAAATTAGCCACTAAAATAATGGTAAACTGCTAAGGCATGAAAATAGTCTGAAGCGTGGTTCCACATGCAAGGTCCCACATTCACAGCTTTCAGTGACAGCTCCCTTGCTGAGCGTACGCTTCCTAGGATGCTTCTCCCTCTAGCCCCATAAATTTCCCCCTGGACTTCACCTTGCACATCACCTGTGAATAGATATTTCACCAATGAACTTGGTTTTTATTTCTTAATGAAGTGATTCTATCTCCCCTACTAAACTGTAATTCAAGTTATCACCTGGCCTTTAAAAAAACGAACAACAAAACAAATGGCTCCCTTGCCTTTTAGGATATTAGCTTTCTAAATATTGTGAAAACACAGCTATTGAGTAATAAAACAAAGCTTTTTATGATGACTACCTTCCCATAACTGCAATTAAGATTTAGTCTAAAGCAGGGTTTTTTCATTACCTCCATAAGGAATCAACGTTACTAAATGTTGCTTCTGATGCCTCATTACTTGACAGAGGTCACGACACTTTTTAGGCTACGTTTCTGTCAGTATAGGAGCCCTCCTCTACACTACCGTACCTGAGGCTTTGCACGACCTGGGTTTCAATGTCTGAATGACTGCAGTGGTCAGAGAACGGTTTCCCCTCTTCAGACCTTCCATCCTTAGCTGGGAGATGAACATTCATCTGTGCACAAGGCAGCTTGCAAAAAAGAATAGTGAAAAAAGCACAAAACCTAAAGGTTCCTGGTTTTCTCTGAATCGCCACCGTTCACTGTAATGCCAAAAATAGACGGTAGAAGCAGAAATTGTGAATGATTTGCAAGGAAGTGGTAAAGAGCCATATTGAACTTACAAAGGAGGAAGATCCTCAAAAAGCCAGCCTAACCTCACTAACCATAAAGGCAAATCCATACTTCTTCTGAACAGCTTTTAAGGACACAACAGGTTCCTGACAGGGACAGTCACTGGTCAGCCCCAAATTTCTGACTGCTGTTCTACGAGAGTAACAGGCAGTGACTCTCCGGTGTGCCTTTCCTTACCCTACAGCCACAATAAGCAAAGGAGCTTTGTTATTTCAGCGGCTGTTTCCTAGGCACAACAAGAACACACCTAGCTGGCTCCCAGGGGCTGTGTCCCCAGGGGCAGCCCCACTGCAGCCTCCCCAGCCGCACCACCTGCAGCTCCCAGAGCCTCTCCGAGTGCCAGTTCAGCCCAGTCTAAGCAGGAGAGAGCCGAGGACGCAGCGCCTTTTGGCTGCAGACAGCTGGTCAGCCACCTCCACAAGCTAACAGAAACCAAAAGAGATTACACAGAAGCAGCAGCTATGCTTGATTTTTTTTTTCCCTTGAATCTGTTTTTCCTTCTAGCAAGCCTGTAACTCTCAGAGAAAAAAAATGTATGGAAGAAAAAGCACAAGAGAATTCTGTTACTTATAAAGTTAAAAATATATATATGCTATCTATCTATATATTTAGTGACTCAAATCACTCATTAAAAAAAATCAGGAAAGAAAATGAATCCTCTTGCATAAGGAAAATTACTTGAAAAATGTCTTAATTATACTTCAGAGCCCCTATTGCTAGGCTAACACTCTCAGTAGAGTTTACCTTAGAATAGCAGCGGACTGTTGGCCCAGCTGCTAGTCAGAGCTTGATGCAAAATGCCAGCTCAATGTGCTACAGTCTATCTCTAAGGTTTAAGAGGGCCAACTCTGACAAAGCCTGGCTGTGACAGCGCCAGTCACCAACACCAGAAGGCCTCTCCCACCTCGGTGCCAGGTCAGGGTGAGCGGACACGGAGCCGTGTCCCAGCCACGTGGGCTGTGGCTTCACGGCAGCCGATGGCCCTGCTGCCACCACACAACCCTGGGGCTTCCTCGCCCAACCTGGTGCCAGTCACAACGCCCCACAAGCTGGCTAAAACCAGTGGCCCTGCCCAAACACCTCCAGGCAGGAGGGAGATGGAGGAGCATCAGGAAAGTGAATTGTACCGCGGCAGTGCCAACCACCATGCGGCCAACGCAAGCACTGAGAGGTCGACAGTGTGCTGTCAGAAAGCTGGCATATCTCCCCTTCTGACCCATTTGTATTGTGCTTTATATTATGTAATAAAAATGATTTACACGTTCCATTTACTGAATTTATCTTGTTTCAGGACCTGTAAGCTGACTGTGATAAAATACGCAGCGCTCAGCCCACCAAAGGATAAGTTTCAAGAGCCCTTTATAAAAATCTTTACTGTACTTTCACACTTCTAAACAACACCTGGGGGAAACAAGGACCATACCCTAGTATCTCCTTCCTCCAGCAGCTTTATCAGTTGAGTCAACTTCTTATATTTTAAAATCTTTTACTTCTTTTAAACACTATTCTTACATTTTTGTGACCTCTCCCTTCATTCCCTTCCCCCCTCCAACTTCCCCACCGCAGCAATCCTTCAAAAAGCGCCATGGAAGCAGCTCCTCCTATTAATTAAAAGAAAATTACTACACTTATGTAAGCTTACTTCTCTGCAACTGTGTCTCATCCCCTGCTTCTAGATCTGTAAAACCATTGTCAGCCTTTAATCAGAGCACAGGTATCAGCTCAGAAGCAGGTTTTCCTGCACGCAGCGTTCTCCAAATGGTCAAATAAACTCAGCCTCCTCGGTAGATGCAAGCGATGACACAAAACCTGGGAATACACACACTTTTTAACAAAACCCTATTTGGCACCAACCTGTTTTACAAAATTACAGGTTTTCCTAGATTTCAGACTGTTTTCTTGTTGCATCACCCAGGAATTATGTGGTTACATCAACATCAGCCGGCTGCAGTTGCACAAGGAGCTGTCACTATCCTAGAATTAATCGATCTCAAGTATATTGTTTTGTAATTAAGCTTGTGAATACATCACCCCATGAATATAAAAGCAGCAGCAATAAACACATCCCAGAGAAGAGGGAGAATTAGAAGCTCTTTTTCACTTTCGAGGACAGCTAAATCACTTGGAGGCCGTTCTTCAGCAGCAAGCTCTCCCTGTGGCTGCACTAGCGCTCTACAAGCGGGGAGCATTTTATACAAGCAGGGTGTCCTTACCCCTTTAAAGCCACATAACTAGGCCTTCATTTACACTTCAGCTACTAATTAAGCGTTCCCACAAAGAAAAGACACAAATTCAGATTCCCATTTAACAAATAGTTGACTTTTGAAAGAAAAAAGAGAAAATAGGGCACGTATAACAAAAAACGTTATTTGTTTCAATAACGTAAGCTAGAAATGCCTTTCAGTTACTGCTATTATTAATTTCATAATGAATTTTTTAACCAAGCTTGAGAAGTATGATCTCTGCAATACCTTATCATCAACCCCAATAATACTTTTTATAACTGTTATTGCAAACGGCTCGGTGATCCCTGAAGAGGACAATTAAGCTGACACTCCAGGACCATGGTTTTACTCCTTATCGCAGTCCATTTACAATAATCATCTGAAAAGTTTAGGTTGTGTGGCCGGGATGTCAGCGGGCTAACACCTTATTATCCTTCCTTCTGGTCTTATAGCATTGCAGTTCTCGTACACAATGATCCGTGTTCCTCTTGTGCCAAAGTAGCTTTCACGGGGTATTTTTCATAAGAAAAAGAATCTGCAGAGCACAAAATGCAAAGCAGTTATTATTGTCCATTTTTTTAAATGGAAATTGTGTGAATCATACTTAATTCAGGCAGGCTTGCCTTTCAGGTTTGTCAAGTTTAAACTCCACACAGATGCAAATTACTGCTAAAACTTCTCCCTGCATCTTAATGAGGTACATTATAAACTATGAAGCCAACTCGAAAACAAGAGCATTTTTGACGCCGATTTTACTCGAGCTAGGTACTCTAAGCAGTTCAAGGACTCAGAGGGCAGGAGGAAGCTGTACCCAGCAGCACTTGGATTCTGCCCGATCCCAAGCCTGCTCCAAGCCTGGTTTCCCAGAATAATGCTTGTGCTGGCACAAATTTGTGTGCGAGGATCAGACTGCACGATAAGCGTGCCTAAGCAGCGCTGCGAAGGCTCCCAACTGCTGAGCTCCGAACCCAACCTCTTTTCAAAACATTGTCTCATCCTTTCAAGTGCGGTCAGGCCAGAAGGGAAAGTAAATTGTCAAAACTGCAGGCAAGTGCTAAACAACCCGGTTTAAGGAGACATGTTAGTTAGCAGCTACCGCTGTCTCGCTTGTACCTTGCCTGGTTTAACGATGGTAGCCAACAAGGGATTGCCAAGCGTGCGGAGCGTGGACCACGCTCATCCGCGGCGAGGTTTTCTCTTGGCAACTCTGCCTACTGCTGCCTCAAACGGGGCCGCCCGGGCTCGCCAAGAAAAATGCTAATCACAGACAAATGCAATAATTAAGGGTCAGAAATCAGATAGAGAAGCCAAATTCCTGAATTTGGGTATGCGGATGCTTGTGCAGCCAGGATAAATGCACAGAAATGGCTCCTTCTAAGCAAAATCATGAGATGACCTATATAGGAAGTTAGGGCTCAGAATCCAGCAGTCTGACAACACTGTGCCTTCTTCCAAGCCATTAATGCATGCTGGAAAACAGGGCCATGCTAACATGTCCACAGAGCAGGCTTATTAGCCTACTAACCGCTAATAGTCTTGCATTGCTTTTCTTTCCCAGCTTACTAAAAAAAAACGAACCTCATGTATGAATCTGCTTATCCATCCTTGCAGTAACTTCGGAAGGCCTAATTCAGGTCCGACCAAGTTTAAAGAGTGGAGAAGAACTGAGTTGCTCTGAGTTTGATGAGAACCGGAGACTGGAGAGACATTTCCAAACTAATGATGTCATTGGAAAAGACACCCAGAGCTTGGAAATCACGAACTGCTTCCCAGCTGGTCACTGTGCACGCGCCCTTCGGACAGAGGGCAAGCACATCGCTGTGCCACAAGCCACGCTCTGCCCACGAGGGATGAAGGAGCTGATGGTGTCGCCCTGTAAGCTTTCCTTGCCATACAAGAGGAAGCGTAAGTTCATTAGTCCTGCTGTTTGCAGAACAACTTGAGGACAGAAAACCCCACCCTGTTCCTTGACAATAGCGTATGCAAATGTAGTCAAAACAAATGGAGAACACTGAAAAATCAATTCTGAAGTGCTTGAATTATCTTACAGAGATAGGGGAAACTTTGAATATTGTCAGCACAGCATTCGTGCATGCAGAATGCTCTATCGGTGTTTCATCATGGAAGTCTTAAATTTGTTATCTACACACTGCTCAGTCAGGCATAAGAAATATAAAAGCAACAGTTAGCTATAAAGTCAGATTATAAGAGGGTCTCCTGAATGCTAACAGCAGCAATAAATCATGAAATGTAACTTAACCACTGAGTTGCATGCAATTTTAGGGACGCTGCCCTAAGTAGACTTTTAAACAAGAACCATGGGTTGAATACTAAATTTATGACCATAAACCTCTTGGAACAGGTATGAAATTGTTACGTTTACTAGCCTGAAAAAAGCCGAAATCCTGGCAATTTGAAGATAAACACCAGAAAAGTATTTCACTGCGTTAAACTTTTTATTTCCCCAGTGGTTCACAGGTTGTTGCAACTGCGCACCCAGTTACCCACCATGTCAGCTAGGACGGTGCCCGACTCTTTAAATAGATGGTGCTGCTGTGGAGACAGAGGAAGAACTGCAGGACTGTTTCTGTGACGAGGAGGGCAGTGGGAGAAGTGAAATGCGAGCTGCAGGTTTGGAAGCCTGAGGTATCTTTCACTTCTGTTTTGTATTTTTTCCATACGCACAGGAAACTCCCTTGGGGGGGAGGAGAAAGACCAACTTCCCTACAGCTAAACCCAAGAACATATGTAAAACAGTCAAGTCGCAAGGCTTCAGTGTTTCCATACCTTAATAAAAAAGAACGAGGCAAAAACTGAGATAGCAAAGTCTGATTCTCCCACCTCCAGAATGTCTTCAGACAACCCATGTGGGAAGCAGTAGGGAATTCAAGAGAAGTAGGAGTGAAAAGAAAAGCAGAAAGTCCCCGCAGACACACGTGCATCACCACCCACCTCGCCCTTGCACAGCTCAGCCCCTTCCCCAGCCCTGAGCACTGTCCCTCTGCTTCCCTCAGTCCCCTTTTTGCTGCTGCAAAGCAGGAGAGGCAGTGAGGAGGAAGAAGGGCAGAGCTGACACTGACATTGAGAGTCTTCTGCTCCCACTGCTGGGGGATGTACGGGTTACACCGTTTTGGTACAGCCCAGGGTCCAGCAAGCCACGTGCTGGTCTCCAGCAGCAGGCTTCATGGACAGCTGGAGGAAAGCAAGAAGCAGACAAGCCTGACTGTACTC